CTGAGAACCAGGTATGCAGAGCTATCCACAATCCACAGACCTGGAGCATTAACTCTTTAACTCCCAGTGCACTACATGATGTTAGATGTGGAATACTGATAACCAAAAATCATAAAACCATGACATCTGAGAAATTAAACCCTTTGTTTGCTGTAGAAGCCTAATTTCCATCTTGAAAAGGAAGAGCATCTGTTGTCTATCTAGGTCAGTAGTCTGTTTGACTTATCATGAATACCTTGTAGAAGGATTTACAGTCAACAGGATTGGTATTTTCACTGTAATGTCCTCCTAATTTCAATTTATCTAATTAGTCTAGCTGCTCTCTTCCTAGCCTTGTTAAGCCACCTGGTAACAGCCTTAGGAAGAAGGTTTAGAGTTCAGTTATGCATTGGGAGTGCCGATATTTCTAATTGTGTTTTAAACCCTTGTACCTTTATTGATATTGCCTTATTTTTTTTTAATGTGATTGAAGACTTCCTTTTCTGAAAGCAGTTTCAGAGTCTATCATTTTTAATTGTTATTTGGGGAGCAGTTAGTGTTTAGGGATATTCTTTCTAAGAGATGATTGTAGGATGATGGCAGGAAGTAGTTTCCTGAAGCTCTTCAATTGATATCTGAATGGTCACAAAGCGCTGTCCTTGTAAGATGATGCTGAAGACAAAACTGGTTGCATTCAACTCTGTGTCCTGTATATCTTGAATGTTGGAGTGCTGAGAATATTTTCAAAGCCTGAGATATCAAACTAGCTTGTGGAGACGTGGTTTGGGGGGTTATCATATTGCATTCAGTGCAAGGCATGACGCAAGAGAAACTGTATAAGCATTTAAGTACATGCACATGTATATTTAATTGAAAGAGCTTCTTTTTGAAATGGAGAAATGTATGTACTCAGATGCAACTTTTTTTTTGTGCTCGATGTACTGTATAAATGCTTTTGATGAGTCTTGGCAGACATCCAAGCAGTGATTTGATATACTTCCAGTTCATGCTTATACTTACTAAATGAATAATAAATTAAAAAGTGGGAGAAGATAAGAATCCTAAATGGAAAGATTCTCTTACTTTTCTCTTACTTGAGGGCTCCGGTATTCATGCATGCACCAGCAGAATGTGTCAGATCAAACTTGCTTTCAAATCCCGCTCTCTTGCATAACACTGCCTTGTTTCAATATTGAACCAGATATTTTTCTCCTACCAGTTGTAGTGTCTCACTATGGGAACTTTGACCTCAGTGCTATCAGTTTTAGTAAAATGTCTGCATGAGAGCTGTACGCAGTGAAAAGGCAAAGATCCCTCTGAAATGCCACGAAGGCAGTGCTCAAGAATTACTCCGAAAGCAGAACATCTACTTGTTCCAAGAGCAGCTTGGCTCCAGCAATGCAGTTTGTTGAACTGTAGCATGCTTTGTTGCTTTGGTTCTGCTGATTGCTCTATTGGGGGATGCTGGGAAGCAGGACTCGAATATTTTTATGCTGAGCTTTTATAATGCATGCTTTATATTACTTGGCATGTGAAAGTTTTAATGTAAATAATTTTGCTAAAATTACTACTTTAAATTAGGAGATATTTGTTTGTCTATTTGGCTTGCAAGGAAGATCAGTTGAGCTATTTACAGTCTCCCCTATAAATCAGCTTTATTTATGTATTTTTCTTCTGTAAGCCACACACTGTACCACTTACCCCACAAAGAACCAGCTGCTTTTGGTGATTGTTTCATAAACCCTTCAATGAATGTTTAGATAGAGTAGCCCAAAAATACTGTGAACTGTAAAGAACAGGTGTTGTATCGTTGTGCCCTTCTCACAAATATCACAAAGGACTCCTTAAGCTCATGGATTTGTTGTTCTGAAAGTTTCACCAAGAGTACTGCTATTCTGGTTTGGTTCCTTCTGAAACCCGCTTCTGATCAGCTGATGCTTTTCTGTTCTTTTATCAGCGGCCTTTCTGGCTCAGATAGCTTATTCCCCTTCTCACATTTATCTTTATTGTCTTACAGGGGCAAATGCATCCAATCTAAATCATTTTGTTCAGGTCATGCATGCAGGTCACTGTGCATACTCTCAGTGTGGAAGCGTTCTGTCAGATTCTCTTGTTTCTAGAGCTTTCTTTTTGAGCACAGGTGGTCTGTCTTGCACAATATTCCAAATGGGATTTTAGCAGAGTTTTCTCTGTATTTCCATGTATTTCTGCCTCTCTTGGAAATGTTTCTCTGGATATATCCCAGGATTGCATAAGCATTTTGCACAGCTGCATCTCTGTGGTGACTTGCAGCCTTTTTGTGCTAAGATCAGCTAGTGCATCGAGGCCCTTCTACTCCTGGCACTCACCAGCTTCCAGCATCTGTCTGGGCTTCTTGTTTTACATGTGGAGTTATGCACTGTATATTAGGAGCTCTCCATCTTGCTCGTGTGGCTCCAGCCTTTAAGACTGTGGTACCTGTTGTATGACATTCAATTCACATTTCTGTTGAAATTGCTTTCCAACTTTGTCATCATCTGCTGTCATCTTTTATGTAAGCTGTAATTGATGAAAATGAACCAGCAAACTGATATTGTTTTTTATTTAGTGTGTTTGTTAGTGACTCATGGAAAGTCTGCAGCTTTTTCTCTCCACACTGTTCTGTCACCGTCTCTCTTGGGCAGGATCCTTACAGATGTCAGCTCCAAGTGACAGGTCTCCAACTTGCTTGCTTCATGCAACGCCACACAGAAAAGTATTACTTAATGTTTTCTGGAAGTCCAGATAGCTGAAAATCTATCACAGAATAGTTTGGGTTGGAAGGGACCTCACAGCCCACCCACCCCAACCCCTACCATGGGCAGGGCTGCCCCCCACCAGCTCAGGCTGCCCAGGGCCCCATCCAACCTGGCCTTGAGCGCCTCCAGGGATGGGGCACCACAGCTTCTCTGGGCAGCTGTGCCAGCGCCTCACTGCCCTCTGAAAAAAGAATTTCTTCCTAATATCTTACCTAAATTTACCTACCTTTGTTTTCAGTAATCTCCCTTCAGTAAAACTTTCATGTCCCGGTGTCTTTGTAGCTTCGTGTTTTAATTTTTGTCAGTCTTTATGAAAGCCTTGTGTGCGGTTGATGCCACGTTTATGTGGCGCTTTCTGTGCAGAAAGCCAAATTACATCATAACAGTAGGGATTTTAAAATCTTGAAATAAATCTATAGTTTCCATATTTGGAGAGAATGAGATTTTTCTTGATTTGAAAACAGTTGAATCTGAGCATTGAGCAGTTGTGTTTTGTTGGACAGCTTTCAAGAGAGAACTGTAGAAAGTGATGTAATCCTTTAAAATGCTTGCCTGGTCATCTGTTTCCCTTGCCTCTAACGGAAATGATGGATGATGGTACCCTTTGCCCCAAAACCATGCAAACACATTTTGACATAAAATTGACCTTGGTAGCTGCGCCAGCCCAGCTGGACTGGCATTGATGCCATTAATTGTGTACAAACCTAAAGCTGAGGTAGAGCATTACCGGCTTGCTGAATGGCTCACTAACAGTTGTTGGTGTGATTTGATGTCAACAGTGTGGTTGCACAAAGTTCTCTGAAGTAGGTCAGAGTTAAAATAGTTTTTGAATGGTGTAGGGTGCAAAATATTCAGGTTGGAAAGTATTTATTCTCAGAAAGAATGGTGTGGCACTGGAACCGACTGCCCAGGGAAGTGATGGAGTCAACATCCCTTTAGATGTTCAAGCACTGAGGAACACAGTTAGTGGGCATGGTGGGGATGGACCACCATTGAATCTAATGAACATAGAGAAGTCTTTTTCACTTTAATGATTCTATGGTTCTAAACTCACTATATAAGCCTATATGCCTGGTTGTCATTTCTGCTTCTCTCATACAACTGTCACAGAATTCTGTGGAGTTCTGGTTACTTCCAGTATCAGATGTCTGCTGGGCATTCTCTTAGATGCATGCATTTTTCTGCAGGCCCTACATCCTGATTAAAATAAGACCTGAGTAAAATATCGCCTGATTTTTGGGTGGTCCCATGTGGAGCTGGGAGTTGGACTCAATGATTGTTATGGGTCCTTTCCAACTTGGGATAAACTATGATTCAACATCTTTAAACTCTGGTAAAACGACTGGTGGGTTTGATAAATGTTGTGCATTCACTTTTGTGATTGCCTGAATTGCAGGATAGATGTTTGAATGGCTTTATTATTATCATTTATTTTTGAGAAAAACAGGTTCACAATCTGTTAAATCAGATTTTATTGAGGGATGTTCTTGTTTTGAAGTTTGAGTTGTAGATTTCTACATAAACGTTGCATATAGTTTGCAGGGCTTGTGAAATCAGATAGCATGCTTTAAACAAGCCACCTCTGGGTAAAGTGCATCTCTAATTACTGAGACTAAATTATGTGGAAAGTGAGCTTGTGTCTGAAGTAAATCTTCAGTTCAGTAAATCTAAAATTAAATAATGATTAACTTAATTGCTTCAAGATCATAAAAAACCCCGCTCTTAATAAAATATAGGGATTAAGTGTGTGTTTTGAGAATAGATAATTGCTTCTGCTTCATTTTCAAATAACTTCTATGAAGACGGGGTTTTGTAGGTAGAAGAAATACCCTTTGTTATGCTTATTAGTAAAGCTAGGAAAAGTAGGTTAGTTCTTCAGTATGCAAACCCCTTCTCATTTCTGAATAGGAGCTGCGATTTTACTACTAAATATAAATAGAGCACATTTGCTTTTAATTTCATAGATATGTGCCAGCCAGACCTTCTGAAAATAAAGGTAGTTGATGCATGTGGAGCAGAGTGTAACATTAGGACATGGGAAGAGGGATGGAGTCGATTTTTGGTTTTGTTTTCTTTTTTTTCTTTACCTAAAGGAAAGAGAAAGACAGTTAACATTTATAGGGAGAGTTTGAGCTAAAGAATGGGTGAGTGGGATTAGCAGCTCTGTGTTATTTGCATTGTATTTTGCTTTTAAACAAAATATTTTTACCCTCATTCATTGAAGAATATCTTTTTTGCTTATAGGCAAATGAGAAAGCAAATCTCTTGAAATATAAGCAGTGGTACTTTCCTGGAGGGAGGAGATGGGAATTCTCCTGTTGCTCTGAGTGTTGCCAGGTGCAAGAAGTGGTCCACAGTGGTGGTGGTAAGAAAGAAATCATTCCCCACGTTTCTGTATTTATGTTTTGTCTGTAGCAATTAGATGCATTTAGAAAAAAAGGGGGGTGCACATCCTGTTTTTCTCATAGATCTCTATGGATTGCCAGGAGAGGCAATCAAACATCTCCCACTCTTTGAATTTAGTTTAGGGAAACCTGTGCTTCAGCTTGGTGTGTGCTGTAGAGTTGACTTGTGTGCTTTCATGCATGCTGTACCTGTTGGTATTAATTGCAGCAAAGACTCAATCACAGATAAACCCTTATTGAGGCAACTCCTTAAATGCTAAATTATCTCCTCCCTCCTTGGGAGTGTACTTGGAACTGTGGCCTTAATGTGCTTTGAAGTGATTCTTACAGAGGTCCTGGAAATGTCTTGACAGCTGATTCTGAAGTCATCTCAGTCCGGGCTGCCTTTAAGCCAGATAGCCTTTAAATTTTATCTGGTAACCAGATATGAAAATGTTCAGTTACAGCAACAGACTTTTTTTTTTTTTTTTTTTTGGTGGTTTCTCCTCCATAGAAGGTGGCAGCAAAAGCAAAAAGCTGATGAGCTGTTGAGATCCCACTGACACAGCAATAGGACAGAAATTTCCAGGACAAAATTTTAAAAATGGAGTGGCTAGTGTCAGCTGTTGACATTTTAATGATGATCTCTGTGGTACTCTGCCCCTTTCACGGGCTATTAGTGGCTTTTTATATAGAAAAGTGATTTAACTCTGGTGATTTTGCAAACACACAGTGTTGCTTTGGTATTTTATAACCTTTCAAGGTCTATTATAGGACAAGACATCTCCCACAAAACTTTCATTTCTGTGAGATTCCCTTCAAAGCTCAGTCTCACAAAGCAATGTGTGCTGTATCAGCCACAGTCTGTATTCACTTCATGCAAAGGTAACCCCATAAGTTGCTTTTTTATCCTGCTATAGAGAGAGCTAAAACATTTATCCCAGATCATACTGGATGGGCAAATTATCACTTCTACAACCTCCACATATTCTTGGATCAAAATTTTGCACAAGCACTCACAATTAGCCATTTTACCTGAATCTGGCTAATGATGACCATCTGCAGCTTTAGTGGGTAAGGGTTGCAGATGAAACAGCCTTGTTATGCTGTAATGGTGACCAACTGCTTTCAAAGCTGATTTTGCAGAGTGTTTTTTCTTGAGCTTGGTGCTGTGTGTAAGCAATGCCACAGAAATGCATCAGAACCTGTTTTTATGTATTTGCTGCCTTTTGGCTTATTTTTCAGTTTTTACAGCCGCGATTTTTGCCTCTTTTTCTTTTTCTTTTTCTTTTTCTTTTCCTTTTCCTTTTCCTTTTCCTTTTTCTTTTTCTTTTCCGTTTGTTTAAGGCTATCAATGTGAGCATTAGTGAGAAGCTAAAATATATTGAGAGGACAGGATTGTATGAACTATGCACAGCTGGTGAATTTTTAAGCCCTGTTTCTGCTTTGAGAAGAGAGAATTTGGGCTTTTCTAACCCAGCCCTGCAGACTGCAAAGCCTGATGTCTGTGCCCTCCATAGTGCATGCCTGACTCTTTTATCTCGGGTTGATAGTGCATGGAAGGTTCTTCTGAAAATGAAATGTCCCAGGTGAGGCGGATGGCCATGCTGGAAGCTGCACAGGTTGAATAATCCCCTGAATAATTCCTTCAGCCTTCGCCTTCTTGATTGTTCAGATAAATCCTGAGTGGGTCGATAGATATTAATATGGATTAGAGAAATTTCACTGAGAGCTTTTCAGTGTCCCAGTGGACACTTCTGACGCAGAACAAATCTCCATTTCATGAACAAGAGCACAACTGGTACCAACGGGCACACACTGGAGGAGGTGAGGGAATAAAGTGCAGGGAGACTGAATTACGGCTGCGCATCTCCTAATGGCTCTTTCTTTCTGGGGCTTGTGCACAAGCAGAGGCCCTGCAGGTATCACCTGCTGGTTTTGTCCTTACAGTATATCATCCTGGGGGATATATTTTTTTCAGTCTCACCAGTGTGGCAATTTGTAACAGTTGTTGGAAGATTTGTTTTTTAATATAAGTTAGCTGGGCGAAAAAATAAAACCTTTGCAAAGCAGTTGTGGACATAAAGATCTAGCAGACTAAAACAAGAAGTGGATCACAAAAGCAGTAATGACAGTCACAATTACATGTTTCTTTTAGTTCAAGCAAGGAGAGGTGTAGAATACATTAGAAACCGTTTACATTCTCTGTTTTCGTACTTATTTTATCAGCATTAAGAGGCAGCTTCAAAGCCTGTAAAGCAGAGGCCTCTACTCTGAGAGACTCTGGAAAGCTGCAACCAGAGACATATTCCCTACTGTTAGTCTGGTGTAGGATGATATTTAAGCCAAGAGTCAATTCTGCACAACATAAAAAGTAATGTTCTTTCCCATCTGTTTTTAATAGATAGCACACTGAGATGGGACACTGTAAAAATAAGAAGGAATAGTTTTTCTTGGTAGTTCAGAAACACTTGAATAGGTTGGGTTGTTTCTCAGTGTTGGATTTTTTTGTTTGTTTATTATATGAGTTATTGCATGCAGCGTTCTTATGCCAAGTGAGAAGTGTGGCTCTGAGCTATTTCAATATGGAGAGAATATTGTTATCACATCTTTCATTTGAGTATGCCTCCTCTAACTACTGAGCCTCCATTTAGGAGAGAGACAACAGAAGATCAGCTCTCTTGATTTTCATTTGAAAGAAACAAGTGTACCAGCTGTGTTTTGTGAAGCACTCTGTCCTCTTGATATTTGAAAACACTGGGACTACACCACACTATGTTTTGTTCCCTAGGAGGCTGAGAAGAAGGAACAACACTGTCAGAAGGTGCTGGCTACCTTGGGAACAGGACCCACCTCTGGTCAGTCCTACTAGGGTGGTTAAGGACCAGTGTGAGCACAGGGGAATTCAGGGGACATCAAAGATCCATAAGTTGTCTTTGGGCCAGAGAGTTTGGTAACTGCTGCTCCTAGGAGCAGGTGCCTAAAAGCAACTTAAGTCCTACTTAAGTTTCTTAAAATTTGGTGAATGTGCTCCTTAGCCTATAGACTCTCTTGCAAAAGGCTTAGCATTAAATAAGTTTGCTTTAATGCCCATTTCATTTAAAATACACTCAGCATGGACCTGGATTATATACGGGCAACTTCCTTTGTTCAGACATCCTCTGACTATTGAATGCTTAGTAAGGCTATTTATTTTGAGAGATAAAAATAATCCAAACTAAAAATGCTTTGTAGGAAGCTATAAAGGCATGTATTTTTTATAATTGCTCTGATAATGTAAACACTGCATTGGGAGCAGTTGTTTTCACATGTTCATTAAGTTGTGAAGGCCACACGTTTAGGACAGTATTTTCTAAAGCAGCAGGGAGTACAGGTGGGAATATGAATGATATGCAGTTGCAACAGACATTATTATTTTTCCGTAAAAGCAAGGCCAATTTTATCACAAGACTCTGCTCCTTCATGGTCTCCTTCAGAGAGTCTCTGTTTCTGCCATGGCTTTGGTGTTCATGTTCATTTGGACCAGTAGCCTGATGCACAAGTGTGGCTTGACCCAAGATTGAGAGGTTAAAGGTTGTGCAACCATATATATCTGTGATGGAAAATGTCTGGTAAATCATAGAATTACAGGTATTGGAAGGGACCTCTGGAGATCACAGAGTCCAACCCCCTGCTATAGCAGGCTCCCTACAGTAGGTTGAGCAGGAAAGCATCCAGGTGGGTCTTGAATATGTCTAGGGAAGGAGACTCTACCACCTCTCTGGGCAGCCTATTCCTTTGCTCTGTCACTCTGACAGCAAAGACTTTCTTTTGCACATTTGTATGGAAATGAAACTTTCTGTGTTCCAGTTTTGGCCACTGCCCCTTGTCTTCTAGCTGCTCACACTGAAAAGAGCCTGGCCTCATCCATATGACTCTCACACTTGAGGTATTTAGAAATACTGATAAGATCTTTTGCAGTCTTCTCTTCCACAGGCTGGACAGTCCCAAGTCTCTCAGCTTTTCCTCATACAAGAGATACTCTGGGTCCCTCATCATCTTTGTGACCCTCCATTGAGCTCTAGATGATTCCTGTGGTGGCTGGGCTGCTTTAGAAATTGTTCTACCATGGTGGAGCAACCAGTGTGTGTGTAGGACAGCTGCACTGCTGGGTCTGTCTGGCAGTGGTTTAGCAAGTCATTTCTGGATAACTCTCAAGGAAGATACTCGTTCCCCCTTCCTGAGCTTCTGCCATACTCAGTAAGGAGTCACCTGGATGCCTTAGATCTATATCAGAAGGCGGCAGCAAAAGGGCTCAGATAGAGAACCATCTTATCCTGCAATTCTTTTTCTTTTGTATTGCAGGTATAGCAATGCTGCTTACTCTTCTGATGTGTACCTCATAGGAGAATGTCTGTACTATTATTGTCTGTGAGCCAGCATAGTGCTGGGAAATTTGGTAACATAAACTTGCAGAGCTGTTTAGGTGCTTCTGTGTTCAGGCTATTCATCCCTCTGTGCCTACAACTATCAATTCCTTGAAATGATTACAGCTTAGCTTAAGATATGTCTTGTTTTTACAGATCAGGAATGAGGGTTGCTGTAAGATTATTTCTGCTGTCATTAGAAAGTCCAGAAGAAAACTCTCTAACCCTTGTGTGGTGTTAGAAAGTAGGCATTCCTTTATTCATGGTACGTACTGCGTGACTTGACAAAGCAAGCATGCACTCTCAGAGTTCAGGTTCTTTGTATACACAGTTAAGACATATATGTGATACATATGTGATGTATTTACTGGAAATGGCATATGTATTCATTCTTTTCCAAGAACTCATTAATATATGCTAATATCCTGTGAACATATGCAATACAGGCCTTCAGTTGTCAGAAGACTGCTGACTTCATCTCTTTTATCTTCAGTTTAATCATAGTGACCTTTGGCTGATTTTCAGCTGTTTTTCCCCAGTTTCACATATTTCCATTGCTTGTTATGCCATAATGA